CGGGAATCACGATGCTGACTTGACATGTGATGTTTAGCTCCGTAGTGTTCTCCAGCTTGAAGCCGGCGAGCAGGTCGTCTTTGAGCGCTATTCCGACTCAGCCGCCTCATATGTCACCCTTGACGCGGACAAGCCCCAGGTCTACAAGACGCTCTTCCGCGCCGCAAAGGCAAAGCTCAAGTTGCGTCTGAGGGCCACCGTCCCCGGCGAAGAGCCCGTGGCTGCGCCCGCACCTACACCCGCGCCAAACCATGTGATCCGACACTACCAGCCCACTGCCCACCCCGTCAGCACCGAGACTCTCACTCCAATGGGTGGCGCTCCCGTCTCTCCCGTCATTGCCCGCTCCCCAGAAATCAAGCCCACCGAGAGCACCAGCCCTGTATCGCCACCAACGACAGTAGATGCTGACGGCGAGGCTCCCGTACCGCAGGCCTTCACCGCTCGTCAGAGTAAGCAATAATTTCACATTTCCATGTCGCACGATCACCGGCTAATGCAGTGTACAGGCTTCTTCAACAACCTCGCAACTGCGAACTACAACTCCGGTCTCGCATTCCGCCCTAAGCCGAGCAACGCCTGCACTTCGTGGGTCGTATACTGCAACAACTGCAACGAGCCCATGGAGGACGAGCACTTCCACTGCAGTGTATGCGACGGTGGTGATTACGATCTCTGCCCGGCCTGCGTAGACAACGGCATCCACTGCCCCGGAAGCGGCCACTGGATGGTCAAGCGTTTCGTCAAGAACGGCAGCGTCGTCAACAGCACCACCCAGCGCATCGCACCCAAGGTCAAGGCCGAGGTCGAGGAGCCCCAACAACAGGAGATCCCAGGTGCCTTTACCGATGAGAAGCAGTCCGTCACATATGAGGAGGAGCCAACCCGCACCTGCAACTGCTGCGTCAAGGTCCTCCCCGAGAAGGAATTCGTTACCTGCGTTCCTTGCGAAGACTACGACCTCTGCCTCACTTGCCATGTTAGCAACAAGCACGGTCACCACCCTGGCCACACCTTCAAGCCAGCCACGTCTGAGACCGTTCTGCCAACCCTGGCCGATTTCTTGTGCAACTCTGGCAGGAATGTCCGCCACAACGCCGTCTGCGATGGCTGCGACAAGTTCATCTACGGTGTCCGCCACAAGTGCTTGAACTGCCCAGACTGGGACTACTGCTCCGACTGCCTCAAGAACGCCAAGTTCATCCACCCGCGTCATCGCTTTGTACCCATCTACGAGCCATTGGCTGAGCCTCTGAACAGCGCAAACCGCCACTACGGCATCTACTGTGACGGTCCTCTCTGCAAGGACAAGGAGAATCTGTCGTACATTGACGGCGTCCGCTACAAGTGCGCTGTTTGCCACGATACCGACTTCTGCCAGAACTGCGAGGCCCACCCCAGCAACAAGCACAACCACACTCACCCGCTCATCAAGTTCCAGACTCCTGTGCGCAGTGTTAGCGTTACTACCCTCAACGACGACAAGCAGCGCAAGTCTATGGCTACACTCGGCGACCGCATGTGCGCTAGGCGATCTACCTCAACTGAGACTGCCCCAGTCGCTCCTTCCACCAATGCTGCGACCCAGGTCCAGACCATTGTCGACGTAAAGCCCTCGGCCGAGCCCCAGGCCAAGAAGGAGAAGATTGCTATCCGTGATCTCCTCGTCGACTCTGTTGAGCCGGTGCAAGAGAAGCCTGCCGTGCCCGTCCAGGTCAAGGCGCCAGTCAAGGCTGAGGCTATTCCCATCCCTAGGTCAGAGACTGCCACCGAAGGCCTCGACGCGCACTTCATCCGGGACACCATCATTGATGGCTCCAAGATCTGTGCTGGTCACCAGTTCGTTCAGGTCTGGACTCTTCGCAACCCTGGCCCCAACGCTTGGCCACGAGGCTGCAGCGTCCGACACGTTGGTGGTGACAACATGCTCAACATCGACAACACCCGTCCTCTGAGCCACGTTGAGCTTGCTGAAGCTAGCGAGAGCAACGTGCTCGGCCACACTGTCGAGGCCGGCGAGGAAGCCCAGTTCCGTGTTCTCATGAAGGCACCCCAGCGCGAGGGCACTGCCATCTCCTACTGGCGCCTGAAGACCCCCGAGGGTATGCCCTTCGGCCATCGCCTCTGGTGTGACATTGCAGTCGTTGCCGTGCCCTCGCCTGTCGCCGCTCAGCCAGCTATCCCCATGCCAGTCCAGGTTCCTACTCCCGCATCCGGCTCAGCCACCACGTTCGAGGTGGCTCCTAGGTCGAACCCTCTGTACGACCGCCTCCTACAGGCCAGGGCTGAGCGCATGAAGCAAATGCAACACACTCAGCAACAACAACTGCAGAAGATGAAGGATGCACACCACTCTCTGCAGCAACAGCTGGATCAGCAGAAGATGGAGCGTGTTCAGCGTGTACGCAAGGCTGCCATGGAGCGTCTCATGGAGGGCCGCCGCAAGGTGCACGAGGAGGCGAACCGTCGCAAGGAACACGAGGCTGCCCTTGCTACTATCAAGCACGAGCCTGTTGCTGCTCCCAAGGAGGAGGTCAAGGTCGAAGAGCCAGTTGCCGAACTCCCAGTCGAGGAGAAGCAGTCTGCATCTGAGCCCATCGCTTCTGGCATGATCTTCCCTCAGCTTGACAAGGAGTCTCCCGAATCCAGCACTTACGAGTCTTCTACCACCGCTCAACCCGCCTCTCCATCTGAGAAGAGCACCGTTGCACGTACTGTCACCGTTGCCTCAGACGACGAGTTCTTTGAGGATGCTGAGAGTGTCGCCCTGATGTCCGACGATGGCTTCATGACCGATGAGGAGTACGACATCCTCGATGCCAGCGACGAAGAGATGCAGTAGGTGGTGTCATAGGCGTCAGCGAAAGCTGCCATATTTCGTGAGCACAAAGGTAGGCAAAGTGTTCCTGGTTGGTGTCTAAAGCGTTCAATTTCTGGGTACTGGGGGCGTCAAAAGGAACGGACTGGAGAATTTCGCGATCACACAACATTCCCTATACAGAGAAGGCGCTGGAGCGCGCTTCGATACACCTCGACGGGACATGTGAGTAGGGTGCTTCATTGCCTATGGCTCGGTTACGGCTCTCCTACTTGGCTCAATTTGATCTTTCCTTTCATGTCTTCTATATGTGTAGTAAATCAATGGTAGTTTTCTTGAACACGCCTCTCGTAACATTGTGACGCATGCAAAGTCCGATAACTAGCAACACATGCCCTAGATCTTGATGGTTTGCGGGCGGAGCATGACTAAGCCAGGGTCTTTAGCGCGGTCATGCTAGCGAAAAGTGCCCCAGAAAAAAGTTCGAGGCGCAAAGTATCGATACGCAACACCACCCGCGCTACAATGTCGTCAGATACAGAGATGTCCTCGGCGGAAGAGATTGCCATTGTCTCCAAGAAGGAGCGTCGCGACAAGAAGGAGAAAAAGGTCAAGAAAGAAAAGAAAGGAAAGAAGCGCGCGAAGGCCGAATCGAAAGCAGAAGCCGCAGAGTCCGATAGCGAGGACGCAGCAGAGACACCCGCAAAGAAGCGCAAGCGCGAAGCATTGCCCGAAGAACTCGAGATCGATGTCAACCTCCCCGAACCCGCCTCAAAGAAAGCCGCTCGTAAAGCAAAGAAAGCCAAGCTGAACCCGACACCCGCCGCCGACGCAGACGGAGAAGCATCGGTCGTGAAGACAGAGGCGAAGACAGACGGAAATTCAGCTGAAGACAGGGAGAATGCCGCAAAGCGCTCGGAATACGGTGTATGGATCGGCAACTTGCCATGGTCTGCCACGAAGGAGTCACTACGAAAGTTCTTGACCGACAACACCGAGATCCCTGACGACCAAATCACACGCATCCACATGCCCCCTCCCACGAGGCCGCCGCCCCCGAGTTGGACTACGAAGCCAATGAACAAGGGTTTCGCATACGTCGACTTCTCTACTGAGTTGTCCATGTACTCGGCGATTGCCCTGACGGAGATGAAGATGGACAACCGCGCGCTGCTGATCAAGAATGCAAAGAGCTTCGACGGGCGGCCAGATAAGCCCAAGACTGAAGAGACTCAGGATAACGGACGTGGAGCCAAGGATGCGAAACCGAAGAACCCTCCCAACAAGCGCGTGTTCGTCGGAAACCTCTCCTTCGACGTTACCCAAGAGGATCTTAAGAACCACTACGCACCATGCGGAAGGATTGATAACATACACATGGCAACGTTTGAAGATTCTGGCAAATGCAAGGGCTTTGCTTGGGTCACCTTCCGGGACGTGGAAGCTGCGACGGCAGCGGTCAAGGGCTTTGTCTTCAAAGACCCGTCTGCGTTCAAGAACAAGAAGGACAGGGACGAGAGCGATTCCGAAGTCGACACTAGCAAGCCCGTAAAGCAAAGGAAATGGCTAGTCAACAAGCTCATGGGCAGAGAATTGCGTCGCGAGTTCGCCGAAGACAATCACACGAGGTATCACAAGCGATTTGGCCATGAGAAGGAGGGTGCGGATGGAGAGAATGCAGGTCGCGAGAGAGGCTTTGGCAGGGGAGGAGGAGGTCAAAGAGGAGGCAGGCAAGACTTTGGGGAGAGCAACGGCGGACGGGGTGGCAAGCGAAAGGTCGACCCGAGGAATATCAAGAGTGGTGCTGCTCATATGAGTACTCAAAGGGCGAGTCAAGCTATTGTTGAGTCGCAGGGCAAGAAGACTACTTTTGATTGAGCGTAGACATGTAGTTGGGAGGGAATACAAATGATGGCCTGAGCAAGAGCCAGTCGTGGTCCACCGCACGTTCCTGCTGCGCATTGTGAGACCGGCAGGTGATGGGCGCATGGCTACAGCTGTCATCACCCAGCTCGCCATCCGCTCCTCGTTCCCCAAAACAACCCTAATACTATTGTTACGCCCTGACAGCGACTCATCTTGACCGACCTATATATAAAGTCCTCACCATCTATTTTCGTTTCTCCTACTTCACCCCAACCTCTAGAACACTCACCCACATACCTCCTTCCACACCCAAACAATGTCAAACCTAAAACGCATATCCATCCTCCCCAACCCGTCCTGCGAACGCGCCGGCCTAAAATCCTACGCCTCCCTCCTCCGCAAATACGACTTCGCGCCCACCACCGAAGGGCCCTTCCAAGTCCTCGACGTCGCCACGAAATCCGTGAAGAACCTGTTCAAGCCCGCGGCCAAGAAAGAAACCAAACCGGTTCTAAGGAAAATTGAAGAGGAGGGTAAGCCGGGGGAGGTCAAAGCGGAAGATCAGCAGAATGATGCGTTGTATATTTGTCCTGTGGAGATCGGAACGCCGCCGCAGGTGATGAATTTGCATTTTGATACTGGGAGCAGTGATCTTTGGGTATGTTATCGATTTTGCAATCGATTTTGTTAGGGAGACGAGGAGGCTGATGTATGTTGCGATGTAGCTGTGGTCTACCCTGCTGGATCCCGCGACGAAGAAGGCAGCGGTGAATGGGAAGACGAAACATAACGTTTTCGACGCAAAGGCTAGTGAGACGTTCAAGAAGGTTGAGGGTGCGAGTTGGAGGATTAGATATGGGGATGGTGAGTTCGCTCTCTTCCTTTACCTTGTCCATTCATCCAGTCTTACCACACAATGACCTCTTCGCTGATTACGATGTACAGGCTCCACGGCCTCGGGCATCGTCGGCACAGACAACGTGACCCTCGGCGGCCTATGCATCGAGAACCAAGCGATTGAACTCGCCAACAAACTCAGTCCGCAGTTTACTTCCGGCGCAGGAGACGGGCTGTTAGGTCTAGGATTCGGACATATCAATACTGTCAAGCCGAAGAAAGTGGCTACGCCTGTTGAATCGGTTAGTTCTCTTCCCTATTTTCACCAACTCTCCTTTTCTAGCCTTTCCATCATCACTTATATCTAAACCCACCATCCACTAACACCGCCCACGCAGATGATCTCCCAATCCGACATCCCCTCCTCCAGCGAACTCTTCACCTGCTACCTCGGCTCCTGGCGCGACACCACCGACGCCGATCACGGAGAATCCTTCTACACATTCGGCTACATCGACGACACCGTCCTCCGCCGCTGCGGCGTCTCAGAACCTCACTACGTCCCCATCGACTCCTCACGCGGGTTCTAGCAGTTCCCCTCGCCCACCGCCGTGCTAAACGGCGAGACGATCCAACGACCACCTGGAAACACGGCGATCGCAGACACAGGAACTACACTGGCACTTCTGGATGACGCGCTCTGCGAGAAGATATACAGTACCATTCCTGGTGCGGTGTTCGATAAAGCGCACCAGGGTTGGGTTTTCCCCTTAGGGACCAAAGTCACGGATTTACCTACGTTAGCCCTGGCGGTCGGCGACAAGGTGTTTGAAGTCCAGAAGGAAGATTTTGGGTTCGCGAAGTGTGGGGGTGGGATGCAGTATGGTGGGATTCAGTCGAGGGGCAAGAGCGAATTTGATATTCTGGGCGATACGTGGTTGAAGGGGGTTTATGCGGTGTTTGATCAGGGGAGGAAGAGGTTTGGGGTTGTGCAGAGGGTGGAGGGGGTGCAGAATCTGGAGGCGCCGAAGTAGGGGGTGGGTTGGGCGGGGGTCTGTTTAGTCCTGTGGCTTTAAATTGTAGTAGATGGTAGGTGGTATCGATTGTTCTGATTCTTGATTGAACTCAACTATCTCATTTCATCCTACATCGTGTCTGTCATGCGACCTACGGCGCAGCAGCATTCGCGGCCAACCACTGCCCAAACGCCGCTGCATTCCTCGTCTGCATGAACACAGTGCCCGGTCCCGTGAATTTGCATACAAGGCCCTCACCCGCCGTCATATTACTGATGATACCCCCGCTGGCAACACGTTCGAGGACGTATTTGCAGTTCCATGCAACGAGATGGCCGTTATCGATGATGTATTTCTCATTAGCAGCGAGCTAGAAAAGTCGGTCGCGTTAGCACTTTATCAATCTGACACGGAGATGGATGAATGGAAACTTACATCCTTCCTAATAATCGCGCCAAAACTCGTCACCCAAAGTACACCCGTCCCACTAATCTTGTACACGAACAGTCCCTCACCGCTGAACATGGCTTTGCCGATTCCCTGACTCTTATACTCCGTCACGATGCCCTGTGTACAAGCCAGGAACGCGTCGCGGCCCACCGACCATGTCTCTTTTCCACCGAGCTTGATGATTGTGATGTCGCCGATAGAAGGAGGGGCAAGAAGAAGTTCACCGGGACCCGTGTATGTGGATTTGGACATGTCGCCGCCCATGAGGGCTTTCTTTAGGGAGAACTTCAGGTTGCCTTTTAGCGTCATGGTGTGGGACATTGCTATCATTGCGCCTGGGGTTGTGTTAGTCATTCGTTCTTTGCATCTTTCACTCCCTATAATAGCGAAGTACGGATATCGTATTGGAAGACTCACCAGGTTTAGCAGTAAAAGGACATCCGATGGCTAACTGCACTGTGAGAATGGAGTTCGTGTCCCTGTGGCTCACGCGGTAACTTCCTCCATTGAAAGTTCCCACGTCGTCTGCTGAGGCACTTGCGGGCGCTGTGTGTGCTCCCGCGCCTACGTACTGCGGTTGCTGGGGTATGCTCTGCTGGCTCATCTGCGATTGGTGGCTCATGCCTGGATGACCCGTCTTCTCAGCGGGATATCCCGAGGGAGTCGCACTCGGGCTTCCGCCAGGGAATCCACCGAAGCCGGGGCTCATTGGTTGCTGTGGCTGTTGTTGGGGCTGCTGCTGCTGCTGGAAAGGCGGGGGCGGCGATTGCGCCTGGCCTGGGGCCGGGAAGTGCTGTTGCTCGGGTGGCGGCGCATATTGCTGTTGCTCAGGAGGCGGCGCATAGTGTTGTTGTGGAGCGGCATTTCCACCTGGCGGAGGTGGGTAGTGTTGCTGCTGCTGTTGATGTGCGGGAGGGGATGTGGGTGGTGGAGGGTAGGACTGGCCGCCTGGCGGAGGCGCATAGTACTGCTGCTGGCCCTGTTGGTCTGGTATATGTTAGAGGGCAGTTCAGGAGGAGAGGTGTCGTAGTGTTGGAAGGCTGGAGAAGGAGCGTTCGGTATATGACGGGACGAATGTGGAAGGTGTAGATGTACCTGGCGGTGCTACTTCTCGTCAGTTTGCTTTCACATACTTTGCTACACGCGACTCACGAGGGTAGTAGTTCCCGCCCGGTGGTGGAGTTCCCTGGTATCCCGACATATTCAAGCTTGCGATCCTAAGGCGACGAGTCGACGCGACTGCAGTTGGGTCTCAGAGAACAAGGTAAGGGGATGTTAGCAGCAACCACGCGCAATGTAGGAGGGAGGAGAGGAGCGGAGAAGGAATTAGATTAGTCTACGGAAACATCAGCACCATAAGCAGTATAGACGTTTTAACCGCGCGCCCCGTTGGTGTCTCCTTGGTCAAGCTGCTCAGCCTCCAGCGCGCAGCTGCTGGCTAGCGGGGTCTCTCGAGCCGCCGAATCAGCGCCCCGCATCCTCGCTCTGGCCTACGCGCCAAGCCTGTGCCACGGGTGAGTAAGAGAATAGCATAAAGTCGTTCATGCGTGTGCAGCTATTTTGGATCAAGAGATTCGAGTTGGCCAGAAACAAACATGTTCGCATGTCCTCATGATGCAGGGGAGCTCCGGGAGGCACCGTAGCTATCAGGGTCCACTTGCGACCGACTTAAGCGCCCACGGTATCTCACATGCTAGTCTGCATCTTATTTCCCAGCGCGTATATTAGCGATCACATATTACGCATGTACTGAGCATATTCGTCTTCAACGTCTATTAGACTATCTCTTTTGACTCGTCTCAATGTACATGAACCATCACACGGACATTGCTTGAATCATCATGACCGTTCATACCGCCGAAAAGCGTCATAACAGCAACAGCCGTAGCGCCCGCTGATCGAGAATCCCCAGCCCAAGCCATGCATAACATTGAACATCGTAAAGCGCATAACATCAATTCCTCTAACCCACCATTCTCCGCCTCTTTCCGATCTGGGCCGAGAAACCAGTCTTGATAGCCTGTACCGAACGTCTCGATCCGCAGCTGTTGCAGGTGACGAAGTTGAGACGGTTCTCACCCTTGGAAAGGTCGGTGTCGGGCGAACGGCAGGTCTTGCAGGTAACGTATTCGACAATGTATCGTCGGAGGACGTTCTCGAGTTGCTTCTGCTGGAAACGACCCTTGATGACCAGGCGCTTCTGATCGGCGAATGAACCGCTCGTACCCAATTCGGCGAACAGGAACTGAGCAACGTGCTCGTCGGAACGCTTCATACGCTTGCAAATCTCGGCAAGGTTGGCGAAGACGGTCTTCTTGTTTCCTTCGCGCATGCACTGTGGGGGCGGGATCTTGTAGCTCTTTGTGCCCGAGCTGGCGAGGTCGGGATGTTGTGCGTGGAGGAGCGTGAAGAAGCGGTTCAGGAGGAGATTGTACGAAATGGGGGTCGTCGAGTTGTGTTCCCAGATGCCGGTGCCCTTCATCATGTCGCCTTCTTGTACTTCGGGTTCGGGAGCAGCGACCTCCTCCTCGCCTTCGGGCTTGTCGCCGCCGGCGGCAGCGAGCTTGGCCTCGAAGTCGTCCTCGACCTTCTTCTTGCTGGACTTTTTCTTCTTCTTCAGCGCGGCGAAGTCGCCCTCGGCGCCGTCCTCTTCCTCTCCTTCCTTCTTCTTGGAGGACTTCTTCTTCTTCTGTATCTTGTCAGCAAGATGTTGATAATCGCGCATGTTGTTTGCGCCTCACCTTCTTTGCGAGATCAGCGAACATGTCGGTGACCTCCTCGACCTCTTTGTCGTCGCCTGTAGCCCCGCTTGTCAGCGACTGATGTATTTCCAGTGTGTGGTCCATCTTACCAGCACTCGCGGCGTGGCCCTCAGCGGAGTCCTTGTCGCCGTTCATCTCTAGTGATTCGGTAACGTCGCCGTTGCTGTCGACAATCGTAGCACCTTCGGAAAATTGGACCGACTTGCGGGGTTTGCGGTCAGGGAGATCGGCCTGTGTAGGTGTCCGTTAGTATGTCGCTCTTTGTAGGGAAGTAGAAATAAGTCCCAGCTAGGAAGCTGGCATGCAGCAAGCCCACTTTCAAGGCACTGGATATTTCGAAAGCGAACGTGGGGCTGTGACGTACAGAATCAGCCATGATTGCGGTTGCACTCGAGTTTTCGATCTTCAGTGAGTTCTGGGGATGTTCTGGTATCGATTCGGAGTACGTAGTGATATGTAGGCGTGGTGAGTCGAAGAGGTAGGCAGGCGGTCACCCCAAAGTTCGCCGCAACACATGTGTGAGTCGAACGCTGAGTGCCAAGATTTGCGTCACGTGCCGACTGCCGCTAAGCCCCACCTCCGCTCATTGGCTGGAGCACTCCGACACCATTCACCGAACGCGCCTCTACCACAGCCGTCGCGATCTCGTCACTATCGCCAATGCTGCTACGGTAGTCCGCCGATCCAGTCATACACCCACCACCCTCTCCTGTCAACGATCCAACATCACCGCCACCATGTCCCTGAGCAATAGCGAGAGCTTCATCGAGCCATCCTCCAACGACGAGATCGATTCGTTACCATCCTCGGCAACAAGCTCCTCAGCCGATGAGGAAGAGTACATGTCAGATGCGGACCGGGAGTGGAAAGAGTCGCTGCAACAATTGGAGCTGCTGTTGACAATGGTCATGGTGCCATACCTGGGGAAATACTTTGGCAGGAAGGCCGCATACTGGGGTACGTCATCTTCAAGATTGGACGACATGATGGATGGCAGTTTGCTAACAACTCCACAGGATGGGCCAAGTTCATGGAATGGAAATACCCCGTGGAGATCGTCTTCTCGAGTCCGAAGACGTTCAAGCTGGCAGGGGCTGTTGAGGCAGCAGCCACACTATGAGCGCTTTACATTACTTCGGCGGCTTCACACAATCCAGCATCGGCGTTTATGGCGTTGGGTTCATCAGATAACCACACACATTGGACGTCACTTGTACATACCACTCTATTACCACGACACATCGAACACATATATTACAAGGCAAAGGGCACTCGCCCAACCTCTACTCAAGAATCTCTCCGTTGAAAATCGTCCTCCCATAAGCATCATGGTGCCAATGGTCACCCTCCCGGGTAGTAAGTCGGTCCTGCATATGCTTTGTGTCTATTCCGCCATCCTTGGCATGTATCTCCTCCATCTCCTGCCTCTTCTTGCTCTTGGCCTTTCCCTCTTTGATGCGTAGCTTCTCAAAGTAGACGTACCAACCATAATAGATGCCGGATGTGTTGCCGTTCAACGCCCCTTTCTTGCTGCGAAAAGCGGAGAGTTGGCGCGCGTTGAGGGTCTTGGATGGGTTGTGGAAGGACGCTGAGGCTGCGCGAAGGAATGCAGCCTGGGTTACGCCGGGTTTCTTGAGGTGTGCGTTGATCTTATGGCGGACGTCGTCGCATGTATCTATCAGCATGTTAGTCCTCAAATCTCTTCCGTAATGGTGGTGCGATGGTGGTGCGATGGTGGTGCGAAAGCTTACCGTATACTGGTACTTTATCTTCTTTCTCGAAATCCAGCTCCACATCATCAACGCTGGGCACACTGTCTTTCGCCGCGTCTCCTTCATTCTTCTTCGCCTTCTTACTCGCGGTCGTCTTGATGCCTGCCATCTCGCGCTGCTGGAAGAACGCGTACGCTGCCAGATATACAGAAGACTCAACTCCCTTCTCCTTCCCATGCTGGCTCATGAATCGCGAGTACGCATTGGGCGTAATGCCGACTGCCTTTTGGAACTCGCCCACTTTCATTTCGTCATTGTCGATCAAGGTGCGTATCTTACGCCTGCATACAAATCAGACACTATACGCAGATGATGGAGAATCGGAGATGTTCATGGCGGCACGTCAACCTAGGAAAAAACTGAACAGGTCTGCAGCCTATATCAAACATAGAAACCTACAAAGTAGGTGGCCTAACATTAATGTAGGCTCTAGACCTGTTCGTTTTTTTTTTTTCCTTTGTAAGAGGTGGCGGCATAGAAACACGCAACGCGCACATTGTCACTAAATGAAAAATCGCATACCGTAAGACATCGCAACTCTCCGTCACAGGCCTATTCTCAAGCTCAAAACTTGTTTCGTCATCATCGATGATTTGCATGCTCGGGTTAGGCATAGTTGGGTTCGAGGTAGTTGGGTTTAACACAGTCGGGTTTGGCATAGGCGCATTCGAAATGATCGTGTGCGGCATAGGAGGCGGGTTCGACATATGCTGGTGCGACATAGGTTGGTGCGAAATAGGTTGGTGCGACATAGGTTCTTTCGACATAGGTTGGTTCGACATAGGCGGATGCGGCATAGGCTGGTTTGACATGGGCGGGTAAGACGCAGTTGGGTTCTCCAAAGTCGGCATCGGGTATGGGTTCATATATACCATGTTGGAACTGCGCAATCCTGATGTGATTGTATTCCAACGACCATAAATGGCGACAGTCTTCGGAGCGCAATGAGGTGGCAAAAACGCAGTTTCAGAGGAAAGTAGTAGAGATAGATGAGAAAGGGCGGCATTGCGATCACCCCATCCTTATGACGTCTTGTTGCGACGCGTCTGTGTTTTGCGCTAGTGGGCGGGGAAAGCACGAACGCGTTCTCAGGGGGGCGAGTATCAACATCGTGATCGGGCATGCAAGACGCCTTTCCGATCCAAACGAAGAACTTCTTTCTTTCAATGCGCAGCATCGTGTTATTGAAATGTCTTGACTATTCATGTTTGGCGACGCGCAACGTTGAGAAGGTCTCCCACAAGGCCTGAGCATCAAGAAAGAACACCACAAGCAGAGACGTCGTGACTCGTTGGATAGTAAGCACAACCCAAAAGAAAGCAGCGCATTTCGATGAGGGCGCATGATGACTCCAGAATCTTCGCTGGCCATTGCTTTTCAATAAATTTATCACTCTCCAGGGCTGCTCATTCGCTGACTGAAACGGACGCTAGGCACTTGAACCGGGGGGTGTATGTGTATACAACATGAAAGCGCAGCACTATCCATAATCACGCCGAAACACGACGAGCCGCGAAATTAAACACGGCATAATCGTCCGTTCTGAGTTTGAGTCCCTTGCTCGCCATCCCTGATTTCCCAGTCCTCACTGCCGACAGCTGTCGTCGCGTAGAAGACGCTCTTTGGGTCCCACTTCTTCTTGATCGCGAGTAGCTTGGGGTAGTTCTTCGCGCCGTAGAAGTCGGTTTGCCAATTTGGCTCTTGGATATCTGCCTCGTTGAGATAGACACCGCCACCCTCGGACGCTGGAGCGACTGCACGCCACGAGTCCATGATGTCGTACGTCAGGTAGTCGGATGCTTCCTTCAATTGAGCCGGCGTCGCGTTCTCGGGGACCATGTTCGCGGTGATCAAGAAAGACTGAGTGTTGCGCCATGCCTCATTAACAGCATTGTCGACCTTGAAAGGGTTGCCTGGAGCCATGTGGTAACCACCGACCGTGTGTCCGTTCATCACTGTGTCCTTGATGGTGGCGTAGAAAGAGTTGAACTTCTCTTCGGTTGCCCAAAGGCTCTTGGGAAAGAGACGGGTAGCTTGACGAATGGTGGTCACACCGAGCGTATCCGCGCCCCATGAGCCTTTGTTGGCAGAGTAAAAGTCGTCGTGGTAGGTCGTGTTGGGAGTTACTGAGATGTTGAAAGACTTGAGGTCGGCGAAGAAGTCCTTCGTAAGCGCGTTGAAGGATTCAATAGTGTGGTTCGGCGCAAAGAAGGGAGTCATCTGGAAGTCGAGCGTCGTACCGTAGTTCCAGATCCAGAAGTACGAATAGGTGCCGGCGTTGGTGAACTCAGGGAACCGCTTCATGTAAGCGTTGATGCCCTTCCAGAAGTTGGCAGAGTCGTTGACTGGGGCCTGGAAGGAGAAGACAGATTTGGTAACGTGTATTCTCGGATGGGCTTTGGCGATAACTGAAGTCACAACACCGAAAGTTCCACCGCCTCCTCCGCGAAGGGCCCAGAAGAGATCGGAGTTCTTAGAGTCAGAGGCAGTGACGAAACGCCCATCGGCGGTGACGACCTCAAAGGCGAGAACTTGGTCAGCGGCCATGCCGTAGATGGATGCGAGAGGTGAGTGGCCACCTCCGGTGATATAGCCACCACTCCATCCAACAGTCTACGTTCAAGGTCAGTGGCTGCGACTGCAAAACGTTGCATACCATGGCGACTTACTTCACAGATCCCGGTCATGACGGTCACATCGTGTTCGCGAGCAGCTTCCAGGATCTCGAACCCTTGGACACCAGCACCAGCTTTGAAAGCCGGGCCAGTGTATCCAGCCGACTTGTACTGCTTGATGAACTGGATGTCCTTGAGATTGTGCGTCCATAGGTTGAGGGCACCTGCCCCAGAAGACTTCCCGATATAATCGTGGCCAGTGTTCTTGACGGTCAGTCTGAAGTTCATGTTGCGAGCAAAGTTGACACCAAGCTGCACCTGGGCAACATTCTTGACGTTGATTGAGTAGGATGCGTAGCCGCCTAGCGTACAGGTGCCGCTAGGGTCGTCGGTAGGCATGCACGTGCGGCCCTGGAAGAGCGGCCACATCATTGAGGTCGGGTCGCTTGTGTGGAGATCAGAGGTGGTGAATCTGGCTGATATGTCTGCGCATTTCGCCTCATCATAGTCATTCCAGGCCGAGTCCTTGTAGCATGGTGCAGCGATGGGAGTCGTCTTGATGAGCGCTCCTCCCAGTAGGTTGTCGAAGGTAGACCATACGCGTTCTTCCGGGTAGTCGGAATCGCCTGGAAAGACTTTGCATTGACCGCTGCTGATGCCATGCGGCGTCTCCTCCTCATGGTCGAAGCCAAAAAGTGAAACCGCGTCAACCTGACTGGTTTGACGAGCAGCCTCATTCAGGGCGTCGTTGGTCAATTGGACTGCCTCGTTCGGGAAAAGCGCAACTCCGGCAGGCGAGTTCGTGGAGACTGTGGCGGCGGCAGGTGCGACATCGCGGAAAGCAATCGGACTTCCATGAGCGCCGATAGCGTTCGCAGCTAAAAACAACAGAGACCTGCGCGCAGACATAGCGAAAGAACAGCTGGTCAAAAAGAGTGAACGTGGAGGTGCTGCACGACCAAGCCTCGTCGACCATCTTTGATAAATGA